AGCTGTCCCAACTCTTCCCTTCTTAAGGGAGCAAACGTCTCCAATTTCGATGAGCTAAAAAGTTGCAAAGTACAGAGCTTCCTTATGTTGCGCCAGTAAGGCCCATATTCAGAGAAAGCCATCCCCTTGGAGCCATAAGAAAGGAACTCCGACGCTTGACTCTTTAGCCGGCTCGCAAAGACGACGTCTGTGTCTTGAGGAAAAGCTCGGCAGCTTCAGGGGAAGAGACGACAACAGCAGGGACTTGTCCGAGTCGCAAGGACATGATGGGTCCATAGCGCTTCGCGAGAGACTGAAGGGATCGATGCGGGAGAGCACCCAACTGGTGGAGGTTCCCAATAACCGGCCAGGCCGGTGGACCTGGCGGTTGCTTCCGGTCACCTTTTGCTGGTCTGAGGCACAGGGATAGGAAGAGAGCTGATAGAAGAAAGAGAAGTGGAAGAAGTTGAAGAAGGGAAGGGGAATGGTAAAGGGGAAGAAGGCAACATTTTGTTGCAGAGAGAAAATCAGGAGCTCAGTGCATTAAGTACTGGTAGGTGGGAAGTGAAGATTTAAAAGTTGAAGGTGTGATTAAAATCACAACTCGCCTGCGTCGCCCCATGCTATCCATTCCATTCAGATTTGGGACAAAAAAAAAACAGATTGCTATAAATTGGCGCGGAGCCTCTCCTCTCCTTTTCCTTCGCATCCCATTTTTATCCTCTCCCCTGATCATGACCCTTCATTTCATCGACGGCCAAAAATAACCCATTTATCCAGCGACAGTGCGGGAACTCGCGGAAATGAAAATGGGGAAGATCATTTGACTGATTTGCAAAATGATCGATGGCATGTCCTCCAAGAGACAAAATGTTGTATGTATAATTTGAGAATATATTGGGGGAGATATGAGATCATAACCTTTTGGCCACTTGAACATGGAATATATTGACACATGATCAACACAGAAACAAACATAAATTAACTTTGTACACAACACGATGTAAATACTATGTCTTATTTTGATTAAATAAGGTTGCAATCATTTTAAATTTCAGACATTAATTACCTACTTCATCCGCAAATAGCTACTCTATCGCTCGATGAGGTGAAAAAGGCTTGCAAGTGATTAGCTCTTAATTAGCTAGCACTGTGAGGCCAAAATTTTCAGTCATGCTTGCGTCCATCTCACTAGGAGACATGCTAGGTGGAAGCTCCCAATTAAATCATTGCACCAACATGTGCTAGAAGAAACTAAACTTAACTTATCCCAAAAAAAAAAGAACAAAGAAGTTAAATATATTTCACCATAATTTGTGAATTCTTCCTTATATAATACCCATTGATTGTTATATATCTTCCGACCTCACCCGAGGGATCAATATGAATAGAACTGCGTATGATATCTTCAAGTCTCTTCTATATCACCATATCCAGCACTACAAAAAAATTGACTTTCCGCGGCGACAAAAGTCGCCGCCGAAAGTTTTTTGCGGTGACAAGTCGCCGCTGAAAAGTCGTTGCCGTAGCAGCCGTGGCTGAAAACTTTCAGTGGCGACTAAAAAGGTCGCCGTTAAAAGATACTTTCAGCGGCGACTTTTAGATGTTTCAGCAGCGACAAATGTCGCCGCCGAAAACACTTTCGGCGGCGACATTTGTCGCCGCAGAAAACACTTTCGGCGGCGACAATCTTGTCGCCGCCGAAAGACTTTTCAGCGGCGACAATCTTGTCGCCGCCGAAAGACTTTTCAGCGGCGACAAATGTCGCCGCCGAAAGTGTTTTCTGCGGCGACTTTTTTGTCGCCGCTGAAAGTAATGCTTAAGAAGAATTGGCTGTACCAATGCCACGTCATCATCGCTGGTGCCACGTCATCGTCTCCGGCCGTCACGTCAGCACCGTTGACCTCCACGTCATCGCCATCGGCGGCCACGTCATCACCGCCGACTGCCACATCATCACTAGCCACCTCCACGTCATTGCCACGTTACTCCTCCTCGCCACGTCATCGTCTAAATATTTTCACCTTAAATGTGTCTTCTTCCAGGTTCGAACTCGTGACCGCCTCCCTTCGTGTCCAACCTTCTTGCCGCTGAGCCAGATTGAATTTGTTTATTAATATTGTAAAATAAAATATATATTATTATATTATACTTTCAGCGGCGACAAAAAAAGTCGCCGCTGAAGGTCCACTTTCGGCGGTGACAAAAAAAGTCGCCGCTAAAGGTCCATTTTCGGCAGTTTATTAATATTGTAAAATAAAATATATATTATTATATTATACTTTCAGCGGCGACAAAAAAAGTCGCCGCTAAAAGTCCACTTTTGGCGGCGACAAAAAAAGTCGCCGCTGAAGGTCCACTTTCAGCGGCGACACTTTTGTCGCCGCTGAAAGTCTTGGTTTCAATGGCGACTAGAAAAGTCGCCGCCGAAAGTCGTCGCCTAAAGTCTATTTTTTTGTAGTGCAGATAACTCAACTTATTTATTCTAATTATGTTTTCTAATTCGTGTTGAAGTTTTTTCATCACTCTTGGAATTCTAGAGAGCTCTGAGAAGGTTCACAAAGTGACACCATCAATGGTACCAGTAATCATATCTAAAAGGATGGCTCTCATTCATTAATGTTGGTCATGCAAGGGTGTGGAAGAGATCAGCAAGATGCATACTCCTCCGATCCTAATATATAAGATTCATTTTGTAATATAAATTATAATTATAATGTAGAATAATCCTCCGGTTCTTAATATAAGACCCATTTAACTAATTTGATTAGATTAAGGAAGTTAGGTAAATTAGTTAATTATAAGAAATGTGACCTATTTTTTTTAAAATACCATAATCATCTTTCTTAATACCCCTCTGCTTCTTTTACTTGATTATGGTTGAAAGAGTATCCATGGGGGTAATTTAGAGAAAATTGATAAATGTGAAAAATGGGTCTTATATTTAGGACTAAAACCAACTCAACAATTGGGTTCTATATTAAGGACTGGAGGAGTATTAAATTTTACATTTAGAACAGGAGGAATATAATATATATCTACCGAGTTTTTTTTTTGGTTGCTTTTTCTGCTCATCAGCTTCTTCTTCGTTCTCCTTCATCAATTAAGTTCCTTCCCATTCTTCTTCAACTACTGCCTGGTCAAACCCTGAATCAAATGGGTATATGGTGTGATACTTTCTTTGCCCTCATATATCTGACGCATTCTAAAAAATGTTGAGTGTGTGTGTGTATTTTTTTCCTTCAAAAATACAAGTCACGTTACATGATCGGTAAAATGTTAAGTATTTATTTTTCCAAAATTTTCTTTTACAACTAAGATAGTGGAGAGAGATAGATAGATTAAGAGACCTATTGTTAGCATGGACATCAAATCAAATAGATGTCTCGTCTATTTGAAGACATTAATTATTCTTTAATACTCTATACAAAATCTATATGTTAGATTCTGGTTGAATTATTATTTGTGGATATTTGCGGCTATCAATAATGTGCGCCTGCTTATCTTTTGAAATAAGGAAAAATTATGCGCAAACCTCAAGTAAGAAAATTAAATATAAAAAATTATATTCACAGGTCAAACTTATATATTTACAAATTATGTTTGACAACCTATGTTTACAAGTCAAACTTTTATATTTATGAGTCGAGTTGCTTATTTAGAATTCAAATTTGTAAAAAAATTAAATTTTTTGAAATGACTTTTTAAAATTTTGATGTCATATAAATAGTTGAAACTTTGTGGTTAAAGGGTGTCGATATCGAATACTACCTCCAGTCCTAATTATAAAATCTCGTTTGTCATATCAAAATGTAGTCGATTGAGTACTACAAACGAGGTTTTATAATTAAGACCGGACATAGTAGTGCGCACTTGATCAACCACATTTTGATAACAAACCCCAAGGAATAATCTTTACTTATTACGATATTTTTGCATCATACATGCATATTCATTCAAGCAACTCTGCGTGTCTATACACGTGTGCGCGTGTTTATATATACATATACATACACATATAAATATATACAGTCTTTCTTGTCGGTGTCATTTATTTATGGGAGAATAGAAACGGGAAGAAACACGGAAGTGAACAAAATAACTTACACGTTAAGCCATATGCTTTAAATTATTGAAATAAATTAGATTTAACAGTTTCTTTAGACATATGCTTACATTTAAGTCAGTGATTGAACGACTTAATTGTGCCAAATCAAATCTTTGTCTCGTCTTTTTGAAATGGTGGCATTCTTCTATAAGTATTGATGAAATATTTCAACGACCTCGCTCATTTCTTGTTTTCTAGTTAGTTGGTATAGAGCATTGAACAAAAAAGGTTTTATGCAGACGTACGTACGTTCAGAATAAAGATATCTCTAGTCTGATAATGGGAATGATAAAGCACTGTTACCTGCCCATGAAAAAAGAATTAAAAAAAAAACTTCTGGGAGACAGAAAGTTGTCTTTTTTTTGGTTTCATATTTGAGGGAAAATAAAAATTCATATTTATCGTATTTTTTATTCAACACTTTGTCTTCTTTCCTAATTTTCAGCAAATTTTAATTGAAATTTCTGCCCCTACATATATAAATAGTCGAAAATTAGCCGCTAAAGTATCAAATGTGGTACTTGAGAATTCATTTCGATAACAAATCCTTGTAATGAAACATCTTTACTTGTTACCATGCATATACTGTTTGTAAGATCCCTATTCTTACGTGTGTGTGCGTGCGTGCGTGCGTGTGTGTGTTTTTTATGAAAGAACTTTCCTGCCACATATTTAAAACAGAAATACCATTTTAGAATAGAAAAAACTTTCACGTTAGCCATAGATTTTAAACTATTGATGAAATGAATTACAATTTATTCCAATATATATTCTTCATATGACATGCATATAATTAAAACACAAGGGATACACAAGCCTTGTAATATGAATCCTTATTATTTTCTAAAAATACAGAACTGGATCCATATGTTGAGCCAAAAGCATATAAAGTGGAAAACCTTGACTACCATGACTAATATGGACATTCTGTGCTCAATCTATAAGTTGGAACGGCTAACAAGTGCTTGGTTCTTGGGACTGTAAGGCCAAACTCTTCGTTCATGTCCAAGTCACTAGGACGCCTGTTTAAAGGAAGCTCCCAATTAAAGCAATGCGCCAATTGAGCCACAGCAATTTTAACTGTAGTCAGACCCATCTGAATTCCAGGACATGTTCTACGACCTGATCCAAATGGTAACAATTCATAATCGTGTCCTCGTATGTCTATGTTTCTGTCGAGGAACCTCTCTGGATAGAACAAAGAAGCATCATCTGACCATATTTTAGGATCTCGTCCTATAGCCCACACATTCACTATGATCCTTGTCTTTTTTCTTATGTAATATCCATTAACTGTGACATCCTTAGTACTTTCTCGAGGGGTTAAAGGAGCAGGGGGATGCAGTCTGAGAGTCTCCTTAATGAATATGTCTAAGTAACTTAACTTGGCTAAATCACCTCCTCGACGATTCTGTAAATTACCTTCCTCGACGATTCTGTTCCTTCCAACTGCATTTTTAAGCTCGTTTTGGAGAGTTTTCATCACTCTTGGATTCCTAAAGAGCTCAGATAAAACCCAGTCAACTGCAACACTGGAAGTGTCAGTTGCGGCAAAAATCATGTCTATTAGAATGGCCCTGAGGTGAGGTCTATCAATCACATGGTTTTGTTCGTCCTGCAAATCTATGGGCTGATCATGCACCAGGGAAAGCATTGTGTTCATGAAGTCCTTGTGGTCTTTAGAAGCTTCTTCGTGCTCTCTCACTATCTTTTCCAGAACACCATCAAGCGCCTTATGGTTTCTCCTTAGTCTTCCTGTCAGACCCTGTCATACGGTAGAAAATATTGATCATGAAATTTAAAGTAGGAAGGAAACCCAATTATTATTCTCCTAGATATTAATATCATTGAGGGATTAGAATTTGGGTTGTATATTATTTCTTTCAGCAAGAAGAATTTGGACTTGATATGCGTCAGAAATGAGCTTGAACTCGTCGACGCACAGAGAACACGAGTGTTATTTAAGGAAAAGAAAATTAACGAATTTCCATTGAAAAAGTAATGAATTAACGAATTTTGAAGTAAGTAAGATGAGATATTATTATACTAGTTGGAGGAATAAGACATTGGCACGCACATAGCATATACACCTGGAGATCAAATACACCAAGCCAAGGGACAAAATCAACCAGATTAAATTGCCCCGCCAAGATTAGTCCCTCCGTAATCAACCCCTTTAAGTTAAGCCTGTCGTCCTTAGCACGTCCCAGTATAATCCTATATATTATGTTTTCTATAACGTCCCCCACCACCTCACTGAGATCGACCACCTCACGCGCCGCCGCAGCTCTATCCAGTAACTTCACCATGGCTCCCAGTTCCTCCCTCCTCAGAGGAGCGAATATCTCCACTCTTGACGCGCTTAGAAGATGGAGCGTGCACACTTTCCTCGCATATCTCCAATACGGACCATACTCTGCAAACACGAGTCCCTTGGTTCCTCTAGAAAGTGGATCCGAGGCTTGTATATGGGGTCGGGATGCGAAAACGGTGTCGTGAGTTTTGAGGAATAGCTTCGCGGCTTCAGGGGACGAAACAACAACGGCAGGAACTTGTCCCAACTTGAACGACATGATGGGGCCGTACTTTTGGGCGAGAGATTGAAGGCTGCGATAGGGCAGTTCTCCCAGCATGTGGAGGTTGCCGATGATCGGAAGGGACATTGGGCCCGGTGGTCGTTTTCGATCATCCTGACGTCGTTTTGTGATGAGTATCGAAGTGGATAGAAGGAACGCGAATGTGAGAAAGAGGACAGCAGGAATTGCTAACGATGGAGGAACCATGTTTGATCGTTTGCTTTGGAGATGGAAGAGCCCTAATTAGTGCAAGAAAATGGGGGTTCGTGGGGTTTGGATTTTATAACAAGCAGGAATTTATTGATTAATTATTATGGTATATAGATTTTTTCTTGGCCAAAATTATAGTATATAGATTAGCCAACTAACTTGAAAGCAGTGAGGCGTTATGGAATTAATATCGGAATATCTGATATGGTTGAGGTTGAAATGTTGAATGAACAAAAAACCAAAAGATGTGTGCAAGTTGATTATAATCAAGGTTGTCTCAATTCAGTCCTTAGTCAAATGAGCACATGAAAGTTCTCTCCACGCACCCGTGTGAGAGCTTCTCGTTCTCTCCGCCCAGCGTGAGAGTTCCTCGCTTTTTCTAAGAGGTGATCGGAGGTGGGAGGTAGGATTGGAGGGCGATAGGAGGTTTTGGCGGTGAGAAGGAAGAGAGTAAGATCAACGCTGTGTTAGTATGGAAGACGCTCGCATTACGGCTCCGCTAGTATGGAAGGAAGATGAATCGAAGCGAGTGTTGATCGGAAAGATCTTGGCAGATAAGATCTATACCAGAGCAATCATGGAATCAACTGTATAGAAAGCATGGAATCTTTCTTCAGGAATCGATGTAATTGATATTGCTAGCAATGCTTTTTTGTTTAAATTCTCAGATAGTAATGAATATGATCGTATTCTCCATGGCCGCCCTTGGTCAATTAATGGTAACTTGTTGAGTTTGCAAGAGCGTTCGAAATATAAATCATATGAGGAATTTGATTTTGGTTTTTGTCCAATCTAGATACAAATTCATAATGTACCTCTTGAAGCGATGTGTCTCGAAAATGCCATTATGGTGGGAGGATATATTGGAGAGGTGGTGATGGCTGAGGATCCATGTCCTAATGGCAAGTTTCTTCGGAGCTTTCTACATGCCAGAGTGATATTGGATCTGAGGAAAGCCCTTGCGTATGGGTTTTGGATGCCAAAACCTGACGATAGCAGCACTTGGATTACTGTGAGGTATGAGAAATTACAGAATTTCTGTTATAAATGTGGAAAAATTGGTCACGAACACCGTAACTGTAGAATTGAGAGGATGATGTCTGTTTATAATTCTGCGGAACCACGTTATGGTGCTTGGTTATCCACAAACCTCAGTAGAAGCTGGGACGAAGCTATGATAATTGTTAAAGATGATTGGTCTGAAGCTGAATTTGTTAGAAGGAAGAAAGAAGAAATTCATAGGAGAAGATCCGAGGATACTGTAAGGAGTAATAAGGAGTCTCATGAAGTATCTGAGGAAGATCTGCTTTGCATTAAGTTGAAGGGACGTGTGGAAGATGGGAAGTTGACTGGGGAGGTCGGTGGTATGAAGTGGCAGGAGAATGTTGCTGTTGAAAAAACTCCTGTTAGAAGTGGGCCTGGCCTGGAGGTGGGGAAGGACAACAATATAACTCGGGTAAAGCATACTTCTTCTAATGTGAGATGTGAAGATGTGGGGCCAAGTGGCCTTAAGAGCTTCAAAGGGAAAGTAATAGACGAGGAAGTGTGTGGTGGGCTGTCTAAAGTCAATTCGAAGCAGGAAATGATTATAAATGTTACTGAACCAGAGGAATTAAATCCTTTGGCTATAGTTCCTTACTCGGGAAAGGTCCTGATGGAAGTGGTTGATAAATTGAAGGTGCTTGGGCTAAAGAGAGAACCTCTAGAGGAGATTAGGCCGAAGACAATTAAAAGAAGAAAATATTCTGTTGGAAATGATGTTCAGACTCCTGAGATTTCTGTTTTTGCCAACAGTCTAAGGAAAACTAAAGCAAAATTGAGAAGAGGACTAAAGAAGAAAGGGAAGGAAAATAGTGCTAATTTGATTATAGAAGAACTGTGTGAAGATACTACGATGGATGAGATAAACTCAAAGGAATATGGTGGTGGTACTTTTGTTTTTAAGGCAATTAAACTAGAGGAAGGAAAGGGAGAATTATGTCTGCTGAAGGTGCAGGTGGCTGGCCTTTATCAGCCACCAAGGCGCCATGAAAGTACTATCTTGGAACTATCAAGGTCTAGGGAGAGCCTTGATAGTTAAAGATCTCAGGGACATGGTGAAAAGGTTTGGTCCCTCTATTATCTTCCTCATGGAAACTAAAAGGGGTAGAGAAAAATGTAAAAGAATTAGAAGTTGTTGTGGGATGACTAATGAAGTATATATTGACCTGAAGGGATTGTCTGGTGGGTTGGTTGTATGGTGGAAAGATGATGTTGATATAGCTGTCCTTTATAAGTCTGAGAATTTAATCCATGTTGCTGTTGCTTCGAAGAATATACATATGCCTCAACTGATCACTTTTGTATATGGGCCGCCAAAGGAAAAGGAGAGAAAGATTGTGTGGGAGAAGCTTAAACTGACAGCAACCAATATAAGGGACATGTAGCTAGTGTTGGGTGATTTTAATGACTTACTTACCCAGTCAGAGAAGGAAGGTGGAAATCCCAGGGCCTTAAGAAAGATTCTTAACTTTCAAAATCTTCTTTCAGATTGCAGATTGATGGATTTAGAATTCAAGGGCTCAAGATTTACGTGGTGCAACAAGAGGCCCGGTGCTATTGTAAGGGAAAGAATTGACCGTGCCCTGGGAAATACAGAATTTAGAGAGATATTTGATAAAGCTGTTGTATTTCACACTGAACCAATTGGCTCAGATCACCATGCTCTCTTGGTTGACTGTTGCTATATTGAAGAGAAAGTTCCTCGGCAGTTTAAATTTGAAGCAAACTGGGTAAGTCACGAAAATTACCTGTGCACTGTTAGAAGGGGGTGGAATGATGTAGTAGAGATGGATGATGATGGAGTGAGGGAGTTGGTAAGAAGACTAAATGCTTGTCGAAGGGAACTCATTAGGTGGAGCCGTAAAGAGTTTCCAAATTTCAAGAAACTTATTGATGAACTGAGGAGACGATTGGAGGTTTGCCAGGAGGGTGTAATGAATGATGTGAAGTTGAAGGAGGTTGAGAATTTAGTTAAGCAAATTGAGGAAGCATGGGACAAAGAGGAGACTTATTGGTGGCAGCGCTCTAGAATTAATTGGCTGTGGTGTGGTGATCGTAACACCAAATTCTTTCATAATAGTGTGATTCAGAGAAGACAGAGGAATAAAATTTTGAAAATTAGAAAGAGCTCTGGTGAATGGATTGATGGTAGAGAAGACATTGATAGAGAGTTTAGTACTTTCTATCAAAATCTCTTTAAACCAGTGGGTGCTAGGTCTATGGAGCAGGCTCCAATGTATGTGCAGAATATGGTCACGCAGGAGGACAATGATCAGCTTCTAAGTGCTATTACTGATGTGGAAATTGAAGAGGCAGTGTTCCAATTAGGGGCAAATAAGGCCCCAGGGCCTGATGGTTTTTCTGCTTTATTCTATCAATTTGCATGGGAAGAAGTACATGATGAGGTTTGTGGAATGGTGCATGATTTCTTTGAAGGCAGAGCTTATCTGGGCTTGATTAATAATACTAATATTGTCTTGATTCCAAAAATAGACAAACCAGAGGGGTGAATCATTTTCGTCCGATTGGTCTATGCAATGTATCGTATAAGGTCATTGCAAAAATTCTTACCAACAGGTTGAAAGGACTGATGGACAGAATAATCACTCCAAATCAAAGGGCGTTCATTGCTGGAAGAATGATTCAAGATAATATTATAATAACACATGAGGCCTTCCACTATCTGAAAAATAAGAAGTCTAGATGTAAGTGGGAGTTTGCTCTAAAGATTGATATGAATAAAGCATATGACCGGGTGGAATGGGATTTTATTGAAGCTGTCATGTTGAGAATGGGTTTTTGCAGTCAATGGGTTAAGTGGATTATGATGTGCATCTCCTCTGTTGCATTTAATTTACAAATGGCTGGTAGAAATGTTGACTCTTTCATCCCAGGTAGAGGGATCAGGCAAGGAGATCCTTTGTCTCCTTATCTGTTTATTTTTGCCACAGAGGTCTTATCGCTCATGATTCATTACCATATAGAGAGAAAGGATTTGAGGGGTGTGAAGCTTGCCAGAGGAGCTCCTGCTTTGTCCCATTGCTTCTTTACTGATGACGCTATTCTCTTTTTGAATGCAGAAAGAGTTAATTGCTTGGTGGTTAAGAAGATTCTTGAGGTTTACTATGGTGCTTCGGGACAAATGGTAAATCTGGACAAGTCAAGTATCTTCTTCTCAACAAACACGCCTCTGCATGTTAGAGAAAGGGTATCTGATTGCCTTGGTATAAAGTTTTTTGATCAGGCTGGGAATTACTTGGGGCTGCCAGTGCTCTGGGGCAGGTCCAAATCTGCATCATTAGCCTTTGTCAGAGACAAAATTGGAATGAAGTTGCAAGGATGGAGCAGAAGCTGCTCACCTTTTCTGGTAGGGAGGTATTGATAAAGGCGGTTGCTAATTCTATTCCAACTTATCTAATGACTTGCTTCTCTTTTCCTAAGAAGTCTTGTGTTGAGATTGACCGTGTAGTTTCTGCATTTTGGTGGGGCTCGAAGGATGGGGAGGAGGTAATACATTGGAGAAGCTGGGACAAACTGACTAGGAAAAAGAATGATGGAGGGATGGGTTTTCATGACCTTCTATGTTTTAATAAAGCATTGCTAGCTAAGACGGCTTGGCAAATTTTGACGAAGCCAGATGACTACTGGTGTCGTATTCTAAGAGGCATATACTTTCCAAGAGGTGATTTTTTGAAGGCTACGAAAGGAAAGAGGCCCTCTTGGGGATGGTCGAGCATTTTGGAAGGTAGGGATTTGCTTGTGAAGGGGCTGTGTTGGAAGGTTGGGGATGGCAGGAGAGTCCATGTATGGAATGATAGATGGATTCTGGGATTAGAGGATTGCAAACTCT